ACAACAGGGATGTATACAGGGTGCTTTGTTTTTAAGTGGGCGACTACAGTGATTGCATACATGATGACATTATTATAAAGATATAAACTTTTTGTCACGGTCTGTATGGTAGACTGTGGGGATGGCGGGGAAGTAGGACCCAAAATGCAGGACTCCTCGCTGCAAACAGCGCGTTTATTTACAGTGCAACAAATGACAATAAATCCCCGTGCTCTCCCTTGACTGCCGCATCGTGTCTTCCCCAAAAAGTCAGTGTCTGTGTGCTCTCCGCACACATCCACCAGGCCTGATGATGCCTAAAACTCAGTGATCTGCCACACCCACACACACAGCCACTGATACACACAAACATGGAAACAAGGAACAACAGCAACACATGTCCATGAATTATTCAAGAACCATTTTTCCCCAGACCCAGGTCCTTGACAATTTTCTTTAATTCAAAAGAAAATTTCTTTTTTTATCTGTGAAAAAAATATTTCTTACGTAATTACTTTGGTGTAGTATTAATAAGGGGGATTTGTTATCAATAAGAAAGGCTGTAAAATCAATGTAAATACAGCTAAAAGTTAAAAATCTATCTGAGATTTTATGCTTGACACCCCTGGTTTAGAAAAATCTGGAGACGGTACAAAAGCAGTCAAATAGCAATCACAGGAGGATTATTGTTCATAAGATCTTAGCCAACAAATACAGAGGAATGCATTTCAGCTGTTTGGGGCTTTTGAAAGAGGCCTGCTAAACAGAAAAGACAAGTAAAAAGATAAAGAAAAAAGCTAACCGGTATTTATTTAAACTAAGGGCAATGACGGATTTCCTTGAACACCAAATCATTACCAAATTATTGCTTCAGTTGCGTGAATGTGTGCCCTCACGTATCCAATTTAAATTCATAATATTGTAGCGGGCTAGGGGGAAGAGCCACTGGCCCAAGGTCTTATGGGACTGAATACCTGATGTTAATGTGTTGTAAGTTGTAGGGTTATAACGGCAGTTACAGTTATCAGGTGTTGATTTGCCATTTTTGTGTTAGTGTGTAACATTAGTCCTGCTGTGTGTTCTGTGTTTGGTGTGGCTGGTGGAGCACAGAGTTAGACGGCTGTGCCCATTTACCACCTCTCACTGCTGTGTGTGTGTGTGTGTGTGTGAAGGGGTGTTCCTAATAAAAGTTTCTGTCTCCTACTTGTCAATGTTAACATTCATCCAGAGAAAAAGAAGAGAAATCTTCTGTTCAAAACACAAAGCCTGCATTTTCAGGTGTAAGACTCTCAGTTATGCTTTCATGTTGCTTTTGTTTTTTGGCCATCAGGTTTGTACAGCAACCTGGATTTAAGACAGGAGACATTTGTTTATTTGTTCAACTTTAATAACTCTGTAAGGCTTCAGTTTATTAACATAATGAGTAAAGTGTGGACATCTCGCTTGTTTAGTCAAGAAAAATCTCACCAACTGATTCACAGTATCAGCTGTTTACAAGCAGATAATCACCAGTGATCAAAGAGGTTGTAATAATGATAATGTAAGTCTAGGTTCTTTGTCTGTACATTGATTTGAACAACTTCTGATCTATTAAAACAGAACCTAACAAAAACAAAACTGACCCAAGAGGACAAAAGATTAAGTCAAGATAAAAACAGTTGTAGCAAAGACCATTAAAAAAGTATGCCTTAACATTTTTCTTGAAAATATAATTAATCAAGACACTATTATAAGTCAGCATAGATAAATGCAGCACAAACATAGCGGTAAAATAGTTCTGAAATATACCCATACATGAAAACTGACATCAAAATTAATTCTCTACTCAATAGAAAATCTGCATTGGCATTCTGCGAACTGTCCCTTACATGACCTCTCTCTATTTGAGATTCCTGAACTCAGCAGTGTCTCCATAATCTGAAAGCCGAAATCCAGCATGAAGCGGGTGAGTGAACGTGGTCTGGACTCTGTGGAGGAGAGTCATGGTTTCAGAGACGTTATAAAAACACAGAATACCGGCGCTGTGATCCAGGTACACTCCTACTCTCCCAAACTGAGGACCCGAGACAGCCTTGTGAGAATTGTTGTGCACAAATTTAACACCATTTTGGTCACAACATAATGCCCACGATGTCCTATTGAATCCTAATCCGCATACATCTGAGAGCCCTGATCTGCTGGTACTCTTGTATGCGACTGCTATATAAACCTGTTTCCCGCTCCACTCCACCTCCCAGTAACAACGTCCAGCCAGACTCTCTCTACTCAGGACTTGACACCATCCAGTGAATCTGTCTGGATGACTAGAATATGACTGCTGTTCTTTCACAGCTGTGGCTTTTCTACCCCCCTCACATAACAACACTGATGTGTTAGCTGTGTTCAGATCCATTCTGATTTCACGTGAATATCTTAGGAATCCACCTCTGGTCTTTGGCACTGGTTCTGACAGCAAAACATCCACCTCAGTGACTGTCAGTGAGATGTTTGTCCATTTCTCTTTCAGAACATCCTGCAGTTTATCACTGACCTCTTTCACAGCTGCTGTCAAATCCTCAAAGTACCTCAGAGGACGGATTTCGATGCTGGATGAGTCTGTAGACTCATTAAGTGCTGACGGTGAGGAGTAGCTGTGTAGAAACTGGTTGTGATCCTCTGTGCACGACAGCTGCTCCAGCTCGGCGTCATTTCTTCTCAGCTCAGCAATCTCCTGCTCCACCTTCTCCTGAAGCTCTTTGACGCGACCCACCTCAGTTTCCTGCTGGGATCTGATCTGCTGCTTCAGATCTGAGCTTCTATTCTGCATGAGACAGATGAGCTCAGCAAAGATCTTTTCATTTTCTTCCACTGCTTTATCAGCAGACTGATTGATGGACTCCACCTCCTGTTGAAGAATCGTCACGTCTTTCTCTCGGTCACAGAGTCTCTGCTTGAGTTTTTGTCGACTCATTTCCAGCTCCTTCTGCTTCTTGGTCCTTTCTGCTTCAACTGAGACTGTTTCGTGGTATTTATGGCCACTCAGTTTGCAGTGACTGCAGATACGCTGCTGATCAGTACGACAGAAAATCTTCATCGGCTCATCATGACTAGAGCAGATGTTTTCCCGGAGTTTCTTGCAGGGCTCCACAAGCTTGTGTTTCTTCAATGGAGCCGCATTATAATGATCCTGAAGGTGTTTCTCACAGTATGATGCCACACAGACTAAACAGGACTTGAAGGCTTTCAGTTTTCTCCCGGTGCAGACATCACAGGGTACATCTTCAGGTCTAGCATAGCAGTGATCAGCAGGAGCAGCTTGGAGTCCAGTCTTCTTTATCTCCTCCACTAAATTTGCCAACATGGTGTTTTTCACCAGGGCAGGTCTCGGTGTGAAAGTCTGCCTACACTGTGGGCAGCTGTGCATTCGCCTCCCCTTTTCATCCCAGTGGGTTTTAATACAGTTCATGCAGTAATTGTGTCCACAGGGAATGGTCACTGGGTCCTCGAGACGATCCAGACAGATTGAACAAAAGAAGATTTCCCTGTTCAGCTGAGCTCCTTTCTGTGCCATTTCTCCTCTCACTGTCAGCCGTGTGAGTTTTCACTTCTATAGAAATGAAACGCGTCCAAGATCTAAACAGAAACTTAGGAACAGGTTAGAGCTTGTTGTGTTTCAAAGCCGGAAGAAGAAGGAGGGAGGAAGAGCTGGGCTTGAATTTGATTAATAGCAGGAAAAGGGACAGTTTGAAGCACACAGTATTTGTTCATCGCCCCGTTGGTGTTGTTGTTGTTGTTTTGACAAAATTTAAGTAGTTGGTCATTTTCAGTTTCGTCTTGGAATCTGAGAAGTTGAATGACTGCACTAACTCAAACAGTATGGAAGATCATGATCACCAAAATCAGAACTGAAATCAAGTCACAATTGTCTAATAAATGTACAAAACTGAAGAGAAATAAATTAAGGATAAAATAAATGTATTAAACATGACCTCAATTAATATTTGCTTTACTATGTTTTAAACACATTCATTTTCATCATATTTATTTTCTTGTTTCTGCAGGGTTTTGATCCTTTTCTGTGCCTTCTGTGTTACCACATCTCCATTTGTTCCTCTTTTATTTTATAGAGCAGTTCCTCATATGGCTCACCAGTTTCCCCTCATCCATTCTTTTCCCCATCCTCATTATTATCTTTATTCACTTCACCTTTCTGTTCATGTTCCAGAGTCTCCTCTAGTTTCCTCTTGTTGGCTGTTTACTTGAATTTCAATTTTGGGGGGATTTTGTCAGTGCTCTCCTGTTACTCTGTATAATGCCCCAGTTATCAGTGAATAAAACTTCTTGTTTAATCCACCTATCTTCTAGATCCTATTGCATCCTTATACTGGGTGTAAACACATTTAGGTTTAATAGCTGATGATGTGTCCCAGCACATCCGTGAGATATACCCGTCATCTTTATGAATTTTTGCCTAGTGGTAATGAGAACCGTATCGGTACCAAAACAGAACCCTGTAGAACTCAATGAATAATTTTTATGTTTGAGGAGGATTCCTTACATTACACTTACAAGAAAAAACATGGAATCTATAGGAAAATTACAAGTGAACCTTATCAGTGAGTTTGATTAAAATATCAGGACTTAAAGTTGTATGACATCTGAAAACATGAAAATATAAAACAGACATTTAGGGGAAAAATACAAAAAAAAAAAAAAAGCACAATTCTCAGCTCTTAAATTCTTCAAAAATATTTTTAAACATGTGCTACATTTTTTGGTTTGTTTAAGTTGCTTTATTCCTGCTTTGAAGTTGATTTGTGCTTGTTTCTGCAACTCCGAGTGTCCAGAGTAGCCTAGAAAGGCAGCAGCTCTGGGTCTGGCTTTTGTTTGCGTTGGCCTGCTGGCCAGAGTGTCAGCCTTTCCTGTCTAAGCACTTCATCTCCCAGTGGAGATCTGCTATACACTTGGTTGGTAGTGCTGGGAATGCAATCAGAGAAAACTGAAAGGTTGTTCGGAAAAGGTCCCTACAAACAAATGGGGGAGTAATGTAACAGAAGGTCACGATTCAAGCTGCTTTTTTTCATAATACTGCAAAATCTTTCATACCTAGTTAATGTACCATTGGAAATGTTTCACATTTTAGTTTATCTCCAAAATTTCACAATGGTTTCAATACACTTTCTAGTTTGTTGCAGAAACATCTTTAAAATAAAAAAAAAAAGCAAAAATCTTTTATCAAAGCTAAATCTAACAACTTCATCTTCCATAAATCACAATCAGCGGTAGTTTTTATTTGACGACCTATTAGTCCTCATGTTCATCACTTATAACTGGTTGTGTTCAAAGCGTAAAGGGGAGTACATCTGCACTTTTTTTATACAGTGTTGCATTACGTGCATTTTTCTTACCA